TCAGCAGTACTTACAGCATTAAGGCAAGCTGAGAAGTTCCATTGTGGTTACACCTCAGGAACGCTCTCAGAAGTAGGTGTTTGGCATTTTTCCGTTCCTTACCAGTTTGAGTTCACACAGATCAGCTTCTTTCAAAAATTTGAGGATTAAATTCCCTGCACTGTTTCTATTTTCAAGTACTCAGAGAAAGAACAAGCATGATTAGTCAGTGACTTTGTGTTTCATGTATGTTAGTTAATCCAAAAGAATTGGGCAGTCTTAATACTATAACTGAAATGCATGCATATACCAAACAGTTTGATAAAAAAAAAGTCTTTTCTATTTTAAAAAAAGATTAATTACAAGGGAACGAAAAGAAATTAAATTAAAAACAGAACTGAAAACAAACTAAGCTAAGATATTATATTTTTGGTGGTGGAGAGTGAGCAGGTGGTGGGGATGGAATGTCAGAAAATGTAGAGTCTGAGCTGCTTGGGGACGTCTCCTTTGCAGCTGGTTTTGGTGCTGACTTCCTTCCAATCTTCAGCCTTTTTGCTAAAGGCTCACTCTCCTCCTCCTGGTCAGAGAGGGTGATAGGCTTTGCAGAGGATGCTCCTTCTGGCCTATTCCTGTTGAGGACCCTCTTTATCCTCTGACTTGAACGTTCCCCCTTTCTTGTGGGAGGTTTGGCAGGAGATTTCTTCTTGCCTTGTTTGCCATCAGTAGCAACAGGGGCTTCCTTCTTCACCTAGATGGGAAGATGGACTGTTCTCCTTGCCGGAACGTGTGAAGAAGAGGAGGATTTTGAAGGAGTGGACTTGGTGGTCTTCTTCTGAGAGGCCACAGGTGTTTCCTCCTCATCATCACTGGTGGGGAAGCGTTGGAGATTGGCAGGGATATGTTGATTGGTGGTAATGTAGGTCCTCCCAAGACCGTTCCAGGTCTTCGCATCAATGATAGGGATGAGTGTGAGAAGATGGAACGATTTAGGTCAGGACGTGGGAGAGAGGGAAATGAAAGGGTGCAGTCATCTTAATGGTTGAGAAGACAGTTGCTTTTTCTGCGCGCGTTTTCAAGATTTACAATGAATACAAATAGATATGGCTGCGTATCTTTCTAAGTGACTCAGCAGGGACAGGTGTCCCAGTCACTCTTGCCACCTAACCCAGGGAGCGTTCCCTTTGTCTTTTCCTAACTAATAAATAATTAATTAATCTGAAAGAAATAACAAGTAAACGTGCAACAGTGACTACGAAATAAGGAAAAGGGAACGTACTAACCTATCACCTATTATTTAATAAATCTAAATGAACATGTAACAAAACATATAATTATATCTATATATATATATATATTATATTGGGATTGTGTGGTCAGGGACCACCCCAAAACTACGTTCCTGGAACGTAACGTACTTTATTTGGACTTTTTGGAGAGGAACATCAGACATTCCCTCCTTTTTGGGAGCTATGTGGTTATGGATAACCACCCCAAAACTTTGCTCTTTGTCGGAGAGCAAATGTATCTACTGGGTTGTCTCCCAGTCAGCGCTTAGTTTAATGTCTTTAGCTAGACATGGTACTTACCTCTCAAGGGATTTCAGAAATGGTTGAGGGGACCTCAGCGTCCCCTGGTAGTGATCCTAGTGTTCTGGTTTGAAGGTTGGCAGCAATCTGCCCCAGATGGGACTCAATGTTCCTGACCACTGCATCATTCCTGGTGACATATTCCTTGACATAATTTTCCAGGGTGTTGATACGTTGGTCATCTCTGTGGAACGGAACGTAGTTGTTTCTTCTTTGTTCAAACGTTCCAATGTTGCTACCTTGCTGATACTGCTGCTAATTTTTGTTGATTAGTCTCTGGTTAATGGGTGGCCTCCATTGGGTGTTGTGGTTCTGATCCTTAATGATAGTTCCTCCAGGCTTGAATGTTTATTTCGTCCTGCTTGTTGATTGTCTCTGGTGAAGTTCCTATTGCCAAAATTTTCTGCATAACACACCAATGCAGTGGATGGGAAGTCTGTTGAGTCATGAAGGTCACCATAGGCTGAGCATGGTTCTGTTTCAATTGCTGTGAGTTGTAAGACTTCCATCCTTGGTGCTGCTTGGTCAGCTCTCAGGTTCTTCACTTCATTCATGAGTGATGCCAGCTGGGCTTCCATGGCTGTTTGTTTATCCAGTTATAGCATGCCTTGCTTCCTCACTGGGCTCACTCTGTCTATTGACCATTAGAAACATCTTTCAGCAATCCCTTCTTTGATTTCGTACCTTGATTCAAGTGTTCCTATAAAGAAATATCCTCCTGCAACAAAATCTAAGTGAGATTGAGAAGTATGGTCAAGTCCCTTATAGAAAGATTGTAACACTCCCCAACTCTCTACCCCATGGTTTGGACATTTTCTTATGATGTCCTTGTATCTTTCCCATGCTTCATAGAGATTTTCTCCATAAAACATTTTGAAGTTAGAGATTTCAGCTCTAACATAAGCTTGCCGAGATATTGGGAGAAACCTCTCTATGAACTTGTTAGAGAGTTCTTCCTATGTGTGGATTGATCCAGGGGTGAGAGTTTTCATCCATGTTTTAGCTTTTAAGCCCAAGGAGTGAGGGAACAACCTCATTCTCATGCTCTCCTCTGTTACTCCCTCAGCTTTAAAATTATCACGAATATCTTGGAATATTGTGAGGTGTGTGTAAGGATCTTCTGCAGGGAGTCCATTCAAGACCCCTGCTTCCCTAATCATGTGGAACATGATAGGTTTTAGTTCAAAATTTGGTGCTACAGGGGGGAAGGATTACTCCCCTATCTGGTATGTTCCTGAAAGGAGCAGCCAAAGTTCTGAAGTTCTGTTCAGGGGGAACCTCTTCATTGTTATTACTGTGATCAACCATGTTTTTAGGAAATTCTTCCCTGAGGTTCCTTCTTCTCCTATGGAGTGTACGTTCTGGCTCGGGATCAAAGAGAAACTCAGGTACTTCAATGGAGTGGTCAGAGTCTGTTTCAAACTCTTCACTCATAAACCAATAGCACAGGGTATATATATGCACAGCAGATTCAGTGATAAAGAGAAAAAAAATATAAAAGTAAAGTTAGATATACAGTATATGTGTTAGAAAACAATGATAAGAGCAACAGTTGGTGTTTCTATCCCTGGCAACGGCGCCAAAAACTTGTTGGGTGGTTTGCTGATGGTGGAAAAATATAAGTTCTGATAGGGGACGTTTCTCTTTTCTTGCAGAACACAGATTCGTCCCTTAGTTCCAACTCAAGTGCGCAAGTGCACACATCAACTAATAAAGGGAGTATTAATGCCCAAATTATCGTTCCCACGAGGATAGAGTGCTAATTATTGTTTTATCACTGTTTATAAAGAATGAAAATGAGAAGAAAAGTTAGTAAATGAACTGTCTGGTCAAAAGTTCCCTACTGTCTTGACAACGTTCCTCAGGAACAGTAGGTTCAATCTGATGGCAAACAGTTGCTTGCTGCGTTATGTATGTGATCCTTCCTGTTTAGAAGAAGGTGAGATAATAATCATTGGATTTTTTATAAGTACTAAATAAAAAAAATAAAAACTACTAAAACAGAAATAACTATAATCAAGAGACAACATGGTGGTGGTTAAAACAGTTTAACAGAAGAAACGGATTCACTGCTTCACTTTTAAAGGGGCTACTTTCTCTGCTCAAGACATAGCACCTTTTGGCTTTGTCCCAGTTTCTTTGCCTGCCAACTCTGATTCCTCAGCTCATGGTCTAGATGGCTCACAAGTTTCCATATTCTTATGGCTCCCTTGACTCCAACAGGTACTTAGTTCAGAACCTTAAAATAGACGAGTTGGCCCCTTATTCCTAAGGTGACCAGTAGCGTTTTTGCCATGACATCTACCTTCCCCCAATGGCTAAGTTGTCTGAAATCCCTTCCTTATGGAAGTTCCTTTCTCAGTATGTACCCAATTTCCATTGGCGCACAATGAATATAGCTTACTTAGCCAAAGAAATACAAAAATCTTCGGTCAAGAGTTTTGAAAACAGTTCTTTAAGAATTTCACAGTTTACCCGTTCTACAGATAGTTCAGCTCATGGTTGATAATTTAAACATAATTATTCTCAACTAAGATCACATAGACCCGAGATTCAGTCAAGAGATAACGATTGGAACGAAGAGAAAAACACTTATATTAATTTAAAAGACAGTTTACAAAAAGAAACTGAAAATGGAGAAAGATGGATATTTGCTCGTGAGGAGTCTTGATGGTTGTTTACAAAGAAGAGAAGAGGGGTTGTCCCTTAACTACAGTTACAACTTAAAATTAAACTAAGTTACTAACTACTACTAAGTGATCTCTTCCTTTCGGACTGCAAACCCTCCAGGATTCGATGATGTTTTTGTGTGAGGGTAGTCCTATTTATAGCTGGAAGAGGAGTGGCAAGACTATAATTCCTTTGGAGCTAGTTGCTTGAATGAGGGGACGGGACTGTGGCAGCAGAGTGTGAAGCTTGCGTGAATTGCTGAATGGAACAGGATTTGGTGATGATTAGCCGTTGTTTGCAGACCTTCCCATGCTTTGCTTCTGTTTTCAGCCAATGAGAACTCTTGATTCTCTGCTCTTCACGTTTTCAGCTGCTCAGTTGGTGCACCGCCTTGCTTTTTAGAAGTCTTTAACTCTACGTTACCTGCAAAGTGTACAACAGCATTAAATGAATGAAGCAGGTGCATTAAATGCATCTCAGTCCGTTCCCCTTTTAATATATTTTAAAGGAATACGTTACCATCTGTTCCCCCACTGTATTTTTGTCACAAATGTGTAAAAAAAGTTATTTTCATGCTGAGGTTGCTCATCAGATGAGGGAACGTATGGTATTTTGCCATCAAAATGGGCTTAGTTGGGAACGAATTTACGTCCTATCAGGGCCCATTTGGAAGAAGGCAAGTTTAATCTCATCCTTGGCTAAAAGGCTGTTCAGGGCTCGGCGCTCAATATCCGTAAGCCTGGGCCAATTGACAAGTGTAGTCCTTCAAGGTCTTAACACAACATCCTCAGAGAACAGGTCCTTGTAAAAGTTGGTGGCCATCTCCTTAAGAATGTGCTCTTTTCGGATCCATATACCTAAATCATTCTTGAGAGCTCCAATCTTGTTCCTTCTCCTTCTAATAACTGCAGTAGTGTGGTAGTAAGTGGTATTTCTATCTCCATCTCGAATCCACTTCTCCCTGGATTTTTGGTACCACAGCTTCTCTTCAAGGGAAAGGGTGTCTTCAAGCTCCAGGTTCAGCTCTATCTCAAGGTCTTCTAAGAAACGATTCTCCTTGATTTCTAGGCTTCTCTGGATGCCAAGAAGCCTCTGCATGATGGAGTATTTTTTTTGCAGAATATTTCCAAATGTTTTGGAGTTACAATCCCGAAGGACTGGGGTCAGGAGAGACAGATTGCTAGGAGAGTCCAATTCTTCCTTCCAATTATCCTTTAGGACCTGCTTGAAATTAGGGTGATCCAGCCAAGGAGGGAAAAGCCGAAAGGGCCTTTCTCCCTAGAGCTCAGACGCATCAAACAAGTTCAGTAATAATAGGTTATGATCCGAGACACATCTCGGGAGGATCTTAACACTAGCTTCTTCGAACCGAGATCTCCAAGCATTATTAGCCACAACCCTATCCAGACGTTTATACACTCTGTCCAGATGGGCAAATTTGGGCTCTTTCCAAGTGAAGAACGGACCTGCCCCCCATGTCCAGAAGGTTACAGTCGTCCAGCACAGTGGAGAAGGCCAGGCATCTGTTGTGGTCATGGAGGCACCTCCCCGTTTCTCATTGGGCCCTAAGATATCATTAAAGTCACCAGCTAGGACCCAGGCCTCATTGTTCCTAGTATGGAAGTCTCTCAGCTCATCCCAAAAGGAATTCCTTTTGTCTAAGTTTGGGCTGGCGTACACCGCTGACATGATAAAGGGCTCTTTATCGGGCCAATTGATGCGCAAATGTATACACTGGTGGCTTTGCTCCACAAGGTCAACTGTGAAGGTGGTTTGGTTCCATAAGATCCAAATCCCCCCAGCGAAGCCTCTAGCTTCCTCAATAATCGAATTTGTGAATCCTAACTTTTTAAGTATGTTGGATCCAACAGTTCCACTGACTCTAGTTTCCAGCAGGATAACCAAATCGGTCTTGTACTTCTTCATAAAGGTTTTGAGAATTCCTTTGAGCCGTTTTTTTGCTGCTCCCCTGCAATTCCAGATTAGAACCTTCATTGATCACTGGTAGATGTTTGACAGTTGTTGAGGTTACTGTCATACCTTCTACTCTCCTCCCCGGCTGTGTTCCCTCCCGACTCAGCAATCATATCTACGGGGGCCATTGTATCTGTCTCCCTAGGATCCATGTGTGTATCTGCATTCAGAGTCAGCGACGGTATTCCTCCATCGCCTCTCTTCTCCGGAGGGTCAGGAACCCTTTTGGACGGATCCATGACTTGGAGGTTAGACAATTTTGGGGCAAGAGCATCCTGAAGAGCCAATTCATCTTCCTCCTTCGTCATATACCTCATGACTTGCAACATTCCTTGCTCCTTTTTCCGAGTTTCTTCTTTTAAATCATCACCGTCGGTCTGAGCGTTCTCCATAGGGGAAAGTTCTCCTTATTGCTAACGGGTTTTTTCCCTTCACAAGTTTGGGGGATGAATATGTCTTTGCTCCTGGGTTGGCCCACTCCAATCTTTGAGTGGTGTTTCCGCACCGAATAGGGCTCAGAGCCATTGGGCTTCTTTTTTGTGAGGACAGCCCAGCCCTTTTGGTTAGTGGCCCGGCTTCAGGAGATTTTTTGACTCTCAAGCTCTCTTTTATATTATTTTTAACATGAGCCTTTTGGACCCCTTTTTTCCCTGCTGTAGGAACCGTCCCCATCACATCAGTCTGTTTCACCACATTTTCCCTTTCCATCGATCCCTGCTCTGTCAGATTCACCTTCTGATTTGCCGCTTCACCTATTTTAGTGCTTTGATCCAGAGAAGCCCCTTTTTGCTGCTCAGGGCCGTACTTGTCAACGATGAGGACTGTGTCAACCCTAGCCTGCACTCTTCCGGTAGTCTCCGACGGCTTGAGCCTCGCCGGCGCTCCGCTTCCCTCATTTTCTATTCTCTTAGGTCTAGCTATGGGAGCTGCAGCTTCCTTATTTTTATTGCTGTTAACATCTCCTTTCTCCCCATCCAGAACTTTTTGGGGGACCGCCTTGAGTTTTCTGCCCTTGTTTTGACGTTGGACCACCATCCAAGATCCAAAGGCTTCGCTCTCCACCTTCACTTTTCCAGATTGGTTGCTTCCTTCACTAACTAGGTCTTTCTTTCTTTCCGTTGGCCTAACACTTGGGCTAGATGAGTCCACTCCACCAGTACATATGTCTTGTTTGTGTCCATACCTTCCACAGCCGAAGCAAATTAGTTGAAGCCCTTCGTAGGCTACAGGAAACAGCCTATCCATCACCGAGAATTTAGAGATAAAGCTTTTGGCCAGGTCTACCTCTACACAAATTCTTGCAAATTTGCCTTTCTCCGTGTATTCACCCTCTCCTCCTTCCGTCTTTCTCAAGGAATTCTTGTCAATCTTCAAAGTTTTCCCAAACAAATTACCGATTTTCCAGAGGTGTTGAGTAGTGTAGCACTCAAGAGGCAGCCCTGGTATCCTAATCCAAATCGCCAGTCTCTTCATGTGATCGTTGAACGGATCAAACATTGGCCTCCACCTCTGGGTAGTTACGTAATGCCCCACCACTATCCAGGGCCCCCCATGTAGAACATGGTTGTAATCTTTATCTTCATGGAGGTTAACTAGCACATACCCATTGTCCAGGTCTATTATCTCAAACTTTCCTTCCAGACACCATATTTTTAGAAGTCTCGCTATCAGATATCTGTTACTAATCCTCTTTCCTAGGAGTTTGATTAATAGGGCCTTCCTCTATTTTTTGCAGTCCTCCCTATGTTGCTTCGCTGATATGTGGTACACTGGGCATAGAGGGTCAATTTGTATCCCAGAGGTTTCCTCTTCCATTAACCCGTCCTCCTCTTCCTCTTTCCTCAGGGCTTCCATCCAGTCATTCTCGTCACAAGCATCGCCTGTTTCGTCTCCATTGAGCTGTAGGACTATGTCTTTGTACGAGACTAATCTTCTTCCTAAGGCTTCACCTTTTGCTGTGCTAACGACACTAGTTCCTCCCACTTCTATCGCCTGGGGTTCACCAGGCCTGGTGTCCTTCGGCTTGTTGATGCTTCTTCGCAAAAGGTCTTCTTCCTCACTCTCCAACCCTAACTTTCGCTCCATTTTGGTCCCTTGGAGCCAGTTTTGTTCAGTAATTAAAATGGGTTTTAACATGGACGTATCTTTACAGTGGCCTTTTTTGAAGCTTTTATCTCTCTTTCTTTTCTTTCTTTTTTTGGTACACGAAGGTTTTATCTTTAGTAGGGAAGAAAAGTAAGGTTGTATCTGTTATGGATATATATCATATCCTAACTACTCATTTAACAAACCATCAAAGAATAGATACTCAATTATCCTAACAATATCAAACAACCAAGATACTCAGAATACAATCATTATCTCATCATCAAGGAAGTCGAATCCTACTGTAACTGGGAGATCTTCACAAACCCTAGAGGTAACCCTTATAAATAAGAGGCTAAAGACCCCAGGTATACACTTTTAACCTATTTACTATTACTGTCAACACTGTGCACACACTCATGTCTTGGCTATAAGCATATCGCTTGTGCGCAGTGATTGAGATATTGGCCATAGGCCAGATACATACATATTCTTACGGTATCTCTGAGCGCATACCATCTGGTATAGCAATACAGTCTTTCCAGGACCGAACATTGGCGTCGTCTGTGAGAACGATAAATTTTGATTCCCATTCCACGATGACGAACACCCGTTCGACGTCCAACACTGCCCAACCGTCGCCACACCTGTCTGCACTGGAACATCTCCAATCAATAGCGTCTCCTATACTGGTGGATGTCCAGGTCGGAGAGGTCGGCACGCAAGTACCGCTCCTCAAAACCCAGACCAACACGACGATGGAGACAGCACGCCCACCTCCACAGAATGATCAGCCAGGGGACGTGACCACTAGGGCCATGAATGCAATCCTTTAAAGGATGCAAGAGATGGAGAACAGATTCATGTCTCTACAAAGGTTGGATGCTTAGAGGGTGGAGGCATTGGAGGCTGAGCTACGAAATCAAAACACTGAAGGCCGAGCTGGAGGAGCAGGCCAAGTTGAAACTGGTGGGCCGCAGCAACAGAACACGGCCACGGCAACCGAGACTGTGCAGAACCTTCGTCACGGAAACAACCAAGAAGTCGGAGGACCAGTCAACAACCAGGGGGATAATTATCTCCATGATGAGGAGGCTAACAATAGCCCATTTACTGCAAGGCTCATGAACTTGGCAATTCTGCCGATATTCAAAAGTGCCAAGATACCTCCCTATTACGGGAGTCAGGACCCAGACGCCCACTTGGAGGCGTTCAAGACCAAGATGTTGTTCAACGGGATAACTGGACCTATTAAGGCCAGAATCTTCGCGACGACACTGACAGGTCAGGCGATGGAATTGATAACAAGGCTCCCTAGGAACTCGATCGATTCATTCGAGGATTTGGCTCGAACCTTTCGTCTGAATTTTGCCACGAGCAAAGCACATCTGATGCCGACTTACGCCTTAGGAAGAATTCGTCAAAAAGAGAATGAATCATTGAGGAAATACCTCGATCGATTCAAAGATGTCGTCCTCAAGGTGCGGAATCTAACTGAACCGGAGCACCTGCATCTGATCATCTTAGGATTAGATGGCAATTCTCCACTCGCAAAGTCAATTTATAAGAACCCGGTCAACAATCTGGAGGAGTTTCGACATAGGTCAGACAAGTACATTGATGTTGAAGACATACAGAAGGCTTATGGAGAGTCCAAAGGATGAAGCCCTAATCGCCAGAGCCCAAGTAAGAAAAATAAAGACCTGAAATGCAACATGCTGTGAAGATACATTGTATGAAGCGGCGCATGACAACCATAGTTGAAAAAAGCGACGAGTCCATGTTTGTGATGAAGTGTAAAAACCATGCTGACATTTGTCCCTGATATATGAGGGCAATCAAGCCTAAGAAGGGAGCTAATTGGGTGGTCAGTAAATAGGGCCAAGATCACACCTGCCTGAATCAATGCCTAGCACAGGATCATAGACAGTTGGATTCAGATGTCATTTGTGCGGCTATTATGAGTATGTATTGTACCGTGTATTTAATGAAGATTGCTTTTTGAAAATATTCTAACCTTAGTTTTTTTTTTTTTTTACAGATATGTTAAAGGAAGATCCAGCTTTAAAACCAGTTCGCTTTTTTCAACTATAGTTGTCCTGCGCCGCTTCATACAATGTATCTTCACAGCATGTTGCATTTCAGGTTTTGAGCCAAATTCTTATTGCACAAATAAGGGATCTCCTAACTTCCAACCTCTGTGCAAGTCATCATCCCCATAGAGGATCTCCAACTCGTCATTAGGGTGCGCCCAATTAATTAATGAATAATGTTGGGTTTCATGCCAAAATAGCTCTACCTCAGTCCCTGCAGTCCCTGCATCTAATGGGGTCATTATTAATATCTGAAGCAATACCACCGCAAATATTAATTGTTCAGTACAAATTAAAATTTAATAACTTACCACTACTAACTGGGTCAAGATAAAGTGGTGACATGGCTGGGGTACCCAGGCTTACAGCGCTCGTGTCAGCGTCAAAATTTTCGTCCACGTCAGTGTCTGACGAATCACCTTGTGGAATAGCACTTTCAGGTTCTCCCTCGTCTTCGCTGTCCACATACTCCTCCTCTTCATCCTCCTCATCCTCATCCAATGTTATCTAGCTTAACACCTGAGCAGGTGCAGATGAACGTACAACTGCGTCTTCTTGACCAGGACACTGTGCAGTGGTTGTATGAACCAGTAAAGATGAAGACTGACCAACATCAACTTCAACATATATCTATATTAATTTTAATACTTTCCAGCCAACAAACGCATCTGTGACGAACTCCACATCTTCATCATCATCGATATCGTTACCAATGTAGTATATTGTATCCATATCCACTACAGTCTCTAACCTGGCTATCATGCGGTGAATGGATTGGATGCCTTCTAAACCTAATTTTTGATGAATTCTCTCCTTCAATTCATTGCATGTAGTGCCCACTGATGTGCCTCTGGCATGTGATATTTTCCAAGCCAAACATAATAAGAATTTAGTAATAGGAGAGCATTTTCTGTATATTAATTGCTTTTATTATTTAGTTTTTCCATTTCAGTTTATTTCTCACATTTTTATAGTTTTACAGGTTAAAATATGAAGAAATAGCAAATTAAAGAAAAGAAGAAAAATAGGATCCGCGCGACCCGCGCGGATGTTGGCGCGACCTGCGCGGAGATGCGTATGCCATACAGATTCCAGATTGTTGGCGCGGTTGCAACGCCAACCCTGCGCGA